CGTTCGTTGTAAGCCTTTGGTAAGCATGCCGTCTCTGAGAGCCTGAGACCTCCCCTCCCCCCTCCCCTGGATAATAGCGCAGAGTTTATTGCAACTCACTTGATAACGAAGAACCCGTTCTACAAAACCGGCCGTTATGATGATCTCATCACTTTCGATGACAGAGGAAGTTTGGTGATGTTTCAATGAGACGTCCGTGATGCGATAGAGGGAGGGATTGAAGGGGGTGTTGCCCGAGTGCCGGGTCTTTACCGGCCTGCATGTCTCAGAGGACACCGGTCCGCATCCGCATAAGCGTGCGTTCTTCTTGCTGGCCAGAGTGTCTATCCCACGCTAGGCGATGCGCTGTGAGGAGGATCAGTAGGGGTTATGTGATATGTGAGGGGGAAGGGGAGCGGCACGGCGGCCACGGGGGACGGGGTGTGGGAGGAGGCGCGGAGGGAAACGGGGGAGGAGCCTAAGAGGAGCACAGGAGGCAGAGGGGGCCGCGCTTGAGTACGTTTGCTGATCATCGATGCGCGGTCATCATGGCGCTGAGACAGACATGATGGACGACGTACGTGATTGCGGGCATTTGCTGCATTAGCTTCACCAACTCATTCTTTCCAACGACAGGCGGGACGGATATGGAGGGGAGTACTCCCTGCTGTTGATGGCCGATATCATCGCCGTCATCGCTCTGAGTGCTGCTTCTGCGGCTGGTTTAGGGGGAGTATTCTGGATCTAGATATGAGCTTTTGCTTTTCCGAATGCCCTCTCTCTCTCTCCTCTGCCCTCGGTGTCTTTGTGCTCTCCACTTGCCCACGCGCTCGGGGGGGGGGGGGGGGGGGGGGGGTCGCCGGACAAGAGGTGGGCGGGGACGCACGCGCCCCCCGGCCCCAACGTGGGGGGCGGCGGCTCGACGGGCGGCGCGTGCGGCGCGGCCCAGATGCGCGGTGGGGTCGGTGGGGGGGGGGGGGGGGGGGGGGGGGGGGTGTTGTTCACGGTAACATGGTATCGGGACACAAGCCGAACCCGGATTCTACCCGTGTATGGTTCGTTCATCAGCTCATGATGTTGGGGCCAGTGCGGTTTAGGCTTGGTGTTTTCTTGATATAATTGCTTTTTCTCATCTTCGCTTACTGCCACCCGTACCTTTACGCACCCCCTTACGCCCACATCAACCATCGGCGACCTGCCTGAGACCCCCAGCAAGCCCATCTTGCATACCGGGGAACCGAGAAAATCATGAAAGCACCGGGCACAGAGAGACTCCGTCTGCGGGAGAGAGACGCAGCTTGGCTTCTTGGACCTTGAAAAGCCCCGAAAAGAAGAAACAAGCACTTCTCCTCCGCTCGTCCAGCGCAAGCAGCAGGACCAGGACAAAGCAGGCGCGGGCGGGCAGGTTTGTTCTTTTCTTTCTTTCACACTATATTGTTGCCGTGTTGTCAACGACTTTGAGACACTTTGGAAGGACAGAGCTGACGAAGTGGTAGTCTAACTTGGGATAGTCCTCCGATGAATGGTACCTCAAAAGTTCAGGGTCAGACAAGGGGGTTTTACATTGCACTTGCTTTGCTTTGGCTATCAAGGCACGAGGCTACCGCTTTCGGAGGGGCTACGGCCAGATTTATCACATCGTTCGTGATCGCGATCTAGATTAGTGCTACGGTATCGCATCTCGTCTCTCGGGCTTTGGAGATTAGGTTTCTGGGGGGACAGAGAAACGGGCTTGGTCGATTCTTTCGGTGTTGTCTTAGCTCGTCAAGAACTAACGAGTAACTGTCTTATGAGCTGATGAGCAAGGGGAACGTCGACATTCCGGTGTTACTATGTAAATAACGTATTAATCATCCATTATTTACGTCACGCATTATATGTTCTACAGAGTTAAATGCTTCAGCAATACTAGGGTTATAATGCATTGCTAAAGTTACACCTGTAACTATTTGTATACCTAAACAAACTGCAAGTAAAGAACCGAAATTTCAAAGATAGCTAATATTAGTAGGTTGTGATGTATCTATAAGATACGAATTAGCTAGTTTTAATAAAGGATGACTTTTTAAAATTCTCATATTAGATTAATGGAAAAAATTTTTTTTATATTTATTTAGTCGGCTGTTTTTGCTCGACTTCGCAGGCCAATTCACAAATTAATATAGTATGAAAATATATTTAGAGTAAAATATTAATTTTAATATTGTTAATAAATTTTGTTTAACATAGTGCCAAAATAAATATTTATAGTTTAAATAGAAATTATTAAAAAATAGGGAGCCGCTTTTCACTTAATGCTTCGTTAGCTTCGCTCGTAAAAATATCGAACTTTCCTATTCTATAATAAATAAATCTAGAATGTAGTGTATACAATTAAATTCGATGAAGAAAAATATTTCCTATAGCAAATAAAATTATTCATTATTGTTGCTTTTGTTTAATTTAAAGGCTACTAAATTAATCATTATTGCTTAGGTATCCTCTTTTAAAGGCTATTAAATTAAGATTTATAAATCTTAATTAGCGATCTTAGCAAACTTCACATGCTTTAATTAGATCACTAACAATTCTAAATAAATATCTTTGAATTCAATATTATAACCGATACTTTATAATACTAACTTATAGACAAGTTCTACTAAAAAGCGAGATAAGCTTCCCTCATAAATTAGAGCTTGCCCCTAAAATTAAATTTTATATCACCTATTTTTATACTGAGGTTACCCTTGGTTATTTTCATTTCAATTAACACTATCAAAATAAAAATAGAACGCATATTTTTTACAAGCTTTATAACAAATATGCTTAGGATTTATTGGATTCGAACCAATATCATAATGATTAAAAGTCATATGTATTTACCATTATACTAAAATCCCTTTTATTTTTTTTTAATCCCTAATTTATAGTATTATACTATAATATTAGGTATTCTGTTTGGCATTATTAAGACAACCAGATATAACCTTAAACGAATACAATTTAGGTTGAGAATACAAGATATTAATGCTTTTTAAAGCATCATTACCATTATTTTTTAGCAGTCGAAGACTCGCCTCCATAAAGTGTTAAGATACTAATAGAAAATAGTAAAACTAAAGAAGATAAATCTAAATTTTGTAAGAAAGAATAGTATATAGATGTATATGCAATAAATCCTATTAATATAAATAAAGCATAATTTGTAACAACACCTGTATTTAGGCTAGAAATAATTTTACTAATTTTAATTAATAATTTTTCTAAACCAAAAGGACCTAAAAGTTCTATACTTCCTTTATCTAAAATTTTAGTAGTTTGACCTCCCATATTTAAAACTAAGTTTACAATAAATTTATTATAGAAATATTCAACTAAGAAACGTTGGTTAAAGAATCCGTAAATAGAATGACCTAAATTAGATAATTTAAATTTGTTTATTAAATTAGGGAAAAATTCTGAATAAATTATAGCTATAGCTGTAAATGACACTGTAAAGAATAAAGGTAATAATTTGAATGTAGTAGGTACAGCAAATTCTGTATCTATTAATATTTCATGTATAGGGTGAATAAATATACTGTTATCTGTAAAGAATCCTGAACCTAAACCTATAAAAATATCTTTAGTTATATACCCAAAATATATAGAAAAAATAGCTAAAACTACTAAAGGTAGACTTAAAAATATATCACCTTCATGAGCGTGTTTATAAGAAACTATATTACCGTTAGGGTTAGCTAAAAAAGTTAGATATAAAACTTTAACAGAATATAGAGTAGTAAATATTGCACCTATAACAGCTATAACGTATACAGCCACACTACTAAAGTAATATTGCCCATAAGCGGATTCTAATATAAAATCTTTACTATAAAATCCTGTCATAAAAGGGAAAGCAACTAAACTAAGACTTGCTATTAATATAACAGAGTAAGTTAAAGGTAAGAATGCCCCTAATCCACCGTATTTTCTTAAATCTTGGTTATCAGCTACTGCATGAATAACTGCACCGGCACCTAAGAATAATAATCCTTTATAGAAAGCATGATTAACTAAATGGAATAAAGCTATATTATATGAAGATAGACCAATAGCAATAACCATCATACCTAATTGACTCATAGTAGAGTAAGCAATTATTTTTTTTATATCTTGTTGGAATAAACCTACAAGAGAACTAAATACAGTTGTTATTGCACCTAATCATAGACATATTAATAATACAGTAGAACTATATTCAATTAAAGGGGATGAACGTATTAATAAGTAAACTCCTGCAGTAACCATAGTAGCCGCGTGAATTAATGCAGAAACAGGTGTAGGACCTTCCATGGCCATAGGTAATCAAATATGAAGACCTACTTGAGAACTTTTTGCCATAGCACCTATTAATAAGCATATACCTATTATAGTAACAATGTTTTCATTAATATAAGGACTTAATGAAAATACTGTAGTATAGTCTAAGTTACCTAAAGATCATAAGATAGCAAACATACCTATAGTTAAAAGACAATCTCCTACTCTATTAGTTAAGAAGGCAGACATAGAACTTTGGTTAGCTGCTATTCTAGTAAATCAGAAACTAACTAAAAGGTATGAACAAACCCCAACACCTTCTCATCCAACAAACATTAATAAATAATTATTAGCTGTTACAAGTATGATCATCATAAAAGTAAAAAGGCTTAAATAACTAAAAAATCTTTGATTGTGAGGATCTGCACTCATATAACTTATAGAGTATATATGAACCAGAGAACTAATTATTAACACAGGAATTAACATTGAAACTGTTAAGCTATCAAATTGGAAGCTTCAAACGATGTTAAATGATTCACTGTTTAATCAAGGGAATAAATGTAAGTACACAGGACTGTTGTTAAATCCTACTTCAAAAAATGCAACGATAGCTAAAGTTGTTGTAATTATTATACTTGAACAACCTAAAAAACGTGCTCCACTAACTCCGACTTTTCTTCCAAAAAATCCGGAAACTATTGATCCTAATAAGGGTAAAAAAATTATACTTAAATACATTATTTATATTCTATTGCTATACTTCCTCTTAATCTATAAAAAGCAACTAAAATACCTAAACCTATTGCGGATTCAGCTCCAGCAATAACTATAATATATATAGCATAAGTTTGCCCTATTATGTCATCCATATTTACAGAGCTTACTAATATCAAAAAAGTTATAGATAATAGCATTATTTCGATTGAAATAAGCATTAATATGATATTTTTTCTATTAAATACGAACCCTAAGATTCCTATTAAAAAAAGTATTAAAGTCAAACTCATATATTCTATTTATTTTATATCAAACTATTCGTGTACAATATATTTATATTGTGAATACCTGGATTTTGCCTCGAATCCCGGCTCCCGGGTTCAAAGATTAAAATACAAATATTCTAAAGGTATATGAGACTTGAACTCATATCTTAGCGGCCGTAACGCTCTTCTTTACCATTAAGATAATACCCCTTTGGTTTTATTTTATTTAGTTTTAATTTCTATTTATTCTAAAAATTTAGAAATCAAACGAGTCAAAGATTGAAGGCATATCCAATCATTCTTCTTGTTCAATTTCAATAACAAAATCTACGGGTGATAGAAAGTTTTCATCTCTCTCTTTACCGTAAAAAAATAATGATATATCCTTAAAAAGGCTTTTATTAGAAATACCATTATCTGTACCACCTACACTATCCCCGGGACCACTATCTTCAGGACCACTTACACTAGGACCACCTCCGCTAGAACCTGTACCAGGACCACCTTTCCCGTTGTTATCATCGTCAGAATCGGATTTACGTTGCCGTTTAGGATTTGGATAATCATCCTCCTCCCCATCAAATTTTCTCTTCCGAGTAGATTGATTACTTTGATCTGATTCGATAACATGAGCTTTATCCTCTGAACCTTCTTTAGGGTCAGAGAATGCCCCGGTACCAGATTGTTCCCCATCACTAACAGATTCTGCATTAGTTGAACATTGTTCACTCTGGTCAGAATCATAGCCCTGTTCATTAGTACTCTCATCAGCATGATAATCTGAGCTAGTAGGAGAATCCCCGGAGTCCGACGAACCATAATCCGAGCTATCATTAGCCGGATCAGAAGAACCATTATCCGCCTCTTGCGAACCATTATCTTCGAAAGAATCACTAATTTGTTCTTCTTCAGAACCACTATCTTGAGAAGAATCGCTAACTTCTTCTTCTCCCATACCTGAATCATTAGAATCACTATTTTGATCATCATTACTTTCAGGATAGTAAAAACCTAAATCCACTTCACCTTCAGGCCCACTTTCAGCCTCCAAACCTGAATTAGCATCCTCTGCTGCTTGTTCTTCAACAGCGTTAGCTAACTCGGCCCCATTCTCTATACTCTCTTCGTAACTATCTTCTTGACCTCTCATAACTAGAGCGCCTCCTAAATACTGACCCGTACCTGTATATGCTGTAGTAACCTGATTACGCACTTCTCTTTCTATAGCGGCAGGGTCAACTCCTGGTAATTGTGACGAAACTAAAGCAGTAATCCTTTCAATATCTTGTTCGACTAAATTAGCAGCTATTCGTCTCCCTTCTGCACTCTGTGCAGTTAACGCGGCACTGAAACGAATTTCAGCGCTAGCCGGTGTTCTAGTCGCTTCCATGAAAGTACGCGCAGCTTCATCATGTCTGCTACCCGCTCCAGTATTTTGATTTTGGTCACTAATGAAACTAGATGCAGTTAAAGGTGCGGGGTATTCCTCTGAATTATTGTAACGAGTAGTAACGTGATTTTTTATAACCTCTTTTTCATTTTCATTTAAATGATTACGATTTTGATTCATTTCGTATTTTATTTTGTAATTATCGAATTGCTCGGACTAGATCGGCTAAATTAGGTGTCCATTATCTCCAACGAAGCCCTTAAGGGGAATCGAACCCCTATCATAATATTAACAGTATTATGCTCTACCGTTGAGCTATAAAGGCTTTAGATTTTTACGAAAATCGCTATAAAATTTACTGCTTAACCCTTCTTGTCCAAGGAACACTAGAGAATCGTAAAATTATTTTTTTACATTTCATCTCAAAAATCTATTACCTCAAAAATTGAAGTAGTAGATTCAAGTTCAATAACAAAATCTATAGGACTACCAATTAGTTGAGTATTCGTACTTAACTGTTCAGTTGACATGGACTTCAAAGAACTAGAACCAGAAGAACTTGAACCTCCACTAGGATCAGAGGGACCACTACCACCTGAAAACCCACTAGGACCACCTTTACCATTATTGTCATCATCTTGACTACGTTTAGTAGATTCTGGTTGTTTACCTGAGGATTTAACACTAACCGATGAAGGAGATAATTGTGAGTCTTCGATTTTAGAAGAAGAACCTGATCCACTAGTAGTTAATGAATTTGTAGAACCCGGTGTATTAGAGCTAGTAGAAGATACTGGTGGAATACTCGAACTAGAAGTTACTGGTGGAACATTAGAACTAGTAGAACCTGCAGCAGGTGCATTCGGTTGATTAACCGAACTGGATGAAGCCGCTGAAGATCCCTGAAGGCTAGCTAATAAATTCCGTACATATTCTGTCTTTCCCTCCTCCAGCTCTTGCCCCTTAGGTGTATTTAGTAACTGTTTAAAATAATAAATCCCAGTCATAGCATCTGTATGTAATTTGCTATTCGGATCAGGCACATTAGTCACAACGGGAATATTCGCTTGTCTAGTACGCCGAGTAGAAATAGCATTAGTAGATTCTACATGATCTACTCCCTCATCGTCAGATAAGTTCCGGTTGTCTTCCATGGGTAAATCACGGTTGTCATCCGTTCTTAGCTGAGAAGTGCTACTAAAGGATTTATTTTGAAAACCATTAAGGTGAAATGGACTAAATAACACATAACTAGGGCAAACAGCAGAAATAAACTTAGATTTAGTGTAAGTAGATAATCTTTTCTTTATTGTTATTTTACTGTACCTTTTTCTAATAATAGCCTGGTAACAGTAAATAAGAAAAGAATGTTCCGATACGCCGGCTATAACTGGTACAAGAACACTACTTATTGCGACAAAAGTCAAGATAAGAAATTTTCTAAACTTACTGATTCAATTACTATAGGCATAGAAGAATGTAATATTCCACATATTTCAGAACATTGTCCGTAGAATACACCAGATCTGTTAATAAATGCAGAAACTTGATTTAATCTACCAGGGTATGCATCACATTTTATACCTAAAGCAGGAGCAGCATAAGAATGTATAACGTCTCCAGAAGTTATAACAAATCTTATATGTGTTTCTTCAGGTACAATTACTCTGTTATCAACTTCTAACATTCTTAAAGCACCTTCCTCTAAGTCAGATTCTGGCACGATATATGAATCAAATTCTATAAATTCGTCACTAGAATCTAAGAAGTCTGGATATTGGTAACTTCAGTATCATTGATGACCTTCTACTGAAATAGTCATTGAAGGGTCATTAACTTCATCCATTAAATATAATAATTTAAATGAAGGGAATGCAATTAATATTAATATTATAGCAGGTGTTATAGTTCATATTAATTCTATTAAAGTACCGTGATTTAAATATTTATGAGCAATAGGTGATTTAGTTTCTACAAAGTATCTTACTATAGAAAATAATACTCATCCTACAGCAAATAATATTAATACTAAATAGTACATAATATTATCATGTAATTCTACTAACCCTTCCATTTGAGGAGTAGCACTGTCTTGGAAATAAATCCCTCACGCGTGTGGGGCATCTAAGTTATAAACTAAGCTTTTTATAACTAAATTCATATATATATATGAAGTTTACGTACTTTACCATATTTTTCATATTTATATACGCTACCCACTTTAAAAAAGTAGAAGTAGTTATACGTATTACCGCGACTGCTGGCACGTATAGTAGTAAAGACTACGGACTACAAATAGAATATACCCTATTATATGAAATGGAACTAGTCGAATGGGGAATCCCTGTTAAATTAGATTAAGCTACGTAAAGTAATAAGAAAGCCATCATTAAAGCGAATAAACCTGTAGCTTCAGAAAAAGCAAATCCTAGTATAGCATATGAGAATAATTGACCTCTCATAGAAGGGTTTCTTGCTACACCTAAAATTAAAGCTCCGAAAACTACACCTATTCCTACTCCTGCTCCTATTAACCCTGTTGTAGCTAAACCTGTTCCTATTATTTTTGCAACTTGTATCATGTATTATATATATATATAATAGTTCCTTGTAGTGCCGTTATATAAGGCAGAAGACTGTATTACTAATCGTTTTGTAATTTTGAAGATTTAGGCTTAAACCACGAATTTGTAGAACGAAAGTAAAGGAATTTACTTTTAGTTTAAAGATAAGAACGGAAGGGGTTCTTTTATCTTTGTAGGTTACGCATATTTATTATAAGTTTTATAACAAATATGCTTAGGATTTATTGGATTCGAACCAATATCATAATGATTAAAAGTCATATGTATTCACCATTATACTAAAATCCCTTTTATTTTTTTATTTAACTAAGAATTATCCCTTGCTAAGGTATCGGCCTTGTTCGGCCAGTCAGCTAGCGAGAATTTCCTTATGTTATCGGGCGACTACGTACATCTTAAGTTAATTTTGAGAATAAGTGTTTACAAAAGAATTCGATTTATATGAATCAACAACAGATTGTCTACTATCTATTTTTAATGCATTTTTACCTAATTCAAATACAAATCCCACAGTAATAATACCAGTAAATATAAGCATAATTATTAATCCGTATATACCATTATCGTATTCACTAACACCAAATGGATATATAACTAAAATCTCTAAGTCTAACAGTAAATAAACCAAAGCAAAAATAAAAAATTTTATACCAAATTGAGTTCTATTTTGACCTAGGAAACTATGAAACCCACATTCAAATATACTATATTTTTCTTGATAAGGGTTATGTGGTGCTAAAACAAAATTAAGAACTAAAAAAAGGAAAGTTAATATAAGTACAAATACAAAAAAAAATGTCATACTACTCATTAATAATTAAATAAAATTTGTACCAATATGGTACCCATGCTTAATCATTCATTATTTATAAATATAAATAATAATATTACTAAAGTAATAACAGAAATAATAAAAGCCATAGGACTAGCTATAACTATATTATTATGTTTAAATTCTAAAGATTTAATAAAATTATTATATTTATCGTAAATATTACCGTGTAAAGTTAAATTTTCTAATAGAGGATTAACTTTATATTGTGGTGTATAAAAAAAAATTTCTTTAACAATAGTTAAATAATATACTCCACCTACAACACTAGTTAAAATAGCAATTAAAGTTATAAATATATATCCTTTATCTAAAGCTGCACTTAAAACCATTTGTTTTCCAAAAAATCCTACCATAGGTGGTATACCCATAAAAGAAAATATTGTAATAGCAAAACTTAAGGCTAATAAAGGGTTAATATAAAAATATCCTCTTAATTGATTAACTAATTGTACAGGAGAATTATTTTTATCTAAAAGTTCTTCATGTTCTTTATTATTAGTTACATAACGATAGAAAGAAAATCCTATAGCTATTAATATAATAAAGGCATTTAAATTACTTATAGTATATTGTGTTAAATAAAATATAAAAGCTTGAGTAGATTCTATACTTGATATACCTAAAGCTAATAACATATAACCAACGTGGGATATAGTACTATAAGCAAATAATCTTTTGATTCTAAATTGAGTTAAACCTACAACTGTTCCTATAATTAATGAGAATAGTGAACTTATAATTAAACCAAAAGTTCAATTTACATCTTGTCCTCCTCCAGAAGAATAAAAGTTATTACTTGTGTAATAAACTAATTCTAGTAAGAATATTAATATAGATATTTTAGCTACTAAAGCTACAAATGTTGTAACTATAGTAGGAATAGCGTCATAAACATCCGGAGATCAGAAATGGAAAGGAGCTGCACTAATTTTAAATAGGAACCCTATACTAAAAACTAATAAAGCAAAATTTATATAATAAGGTTGATATCAGTAAGTCATATCACTAAAGTCACTTATACTGTTAATCACGTATAAACCGTCTAAATTTGTAGTACCGGAATTTGCGTATAATAAAGCTGTCCCTAATAATATAAAACATGAACTTAATCCACCTAATAAGAAATAGATTAGACCTCCAGTAGTAGATAATTCAGAATTTCTATATATTGTACTTAATATATATAAACCATAACTTTGTAATTCTATTGAAAGGAATATAGATACTAAGTCATTTGTTGATATTAAGAAAACTGCACCTGCAATAATAAATAATAATATTAAAGGGTATTCTATTATTTTTAAGTGTTCTCCCATTTTGTTAATAATTTTTGTTCTATAATAAATAAATTTATTAAATAATAATTGATTTAAAGAAGAGTATTCTGGAACTCAAACTTTTCTAGGATGAAAACTTGTTAACTGTATAATTAATATACTAACAAAATATATAAATATATGGAAAATTTGAGTAATATTAGTTATATGAAGTAAACCTCCATGTAACCCTATACCATTACTTACTAAAGATAAGCTCATTGTATCTTGTAAAATACAATAAACTAAAGCTAAAATTGCGACTCTGTTAAAAAGTATTGAAATATCTCGTCTAATTGTGACGGCATTAGAAAGCAAAAGAAATAGTATTGAAGTTATTATCATGTAAAATTTTTATAATCAGAAGAGAAAATCGAATTCTCATTTTTAATTAAGACGAAGTCGCACGACTTCGTACTTCGTACGTATACTTCTGATCCCGGCAGCGTAGCCTGCCGGGAATTAAGCAGAGTAACCCTAATTAACGTTTTAACCTGTTAAACTATCCTGATAAAGTTGAGAATTTTTTTTAATTCCTAAGTAGGATCTTATTCGGCTGCTCGCCGATGGCTCCAGCCTGCTGCCGGCCTGCTCGCTACTATAGTAGAAAAGAAATAAAATAGTATACAGTAACCTCCTGACTTATGGCTAGCCTTCATTCGATCTTTATAACCAGGAGGGAAAATCGAATTCCCATTTTTAATGCATGAAATTAAAGTTTTAACCAATTAAACTATCCGGGTTACTCTGCTTATCACCTCTTAGGGTGTGGGTGAATACCCTGGTTCGAACAGGGAACATACTGTACCACAAACAGTCGATCTACCAATTGAGCTATATCCACCTTATGTTGGAGTGATTCGAACACTCAATTGTAAATACCAAAAATTTATGACTTACCCATTAGTCTACAACATAACCTGATAAGGTGAATCCGACTTGAACGGATACAGATACAAATATATCAAACAGGCCTAAACTGTTCATGTCTACCAATTCCATCATCACCCTTTTTATGCTCGAGATAAGACTTGAACTTATAACCAAAATAGCTTCAATATTTTGCTCTACCAATTGAGCTTCACGAGCTTAAGTCTAAAAAGTGGAGACATCAGGAATCGAACCTGAAATGTTGATATGCAAAATCAAAGTCTTACCAATTAAACTATATCCCCTTTATTATCCGAAAAACGACTTGAACGTTTACGAAATTTCATCAGTATTGTTTAAGAATACCCTGTCTACCTATTCCAGCACTCGGATTTAAAGCTTGCTACAAAGCCGTATTAGCAGCAAATAAGGCTAAAGTGAGTTGAACACTTATAATTACTGTCATGAGCAGTACACTTTACCAATTAAGCTATAGCCTCTATTATGCGGGCAAAGGATTCGCACCAATATAATTTGATCATGAGTCAAATATGTTACTATTACATCAACCCGCTGACTAGACTAGGCGGGGTTTGAACCCGCGTATGTAGCATTGAAAGAGCTATGTCTTTACCACTTGACTACTAATCCTATTCTTTAAGCCCAGTGCAAGTATCGCGCTTGCGTCTATTGATTACAAAACAATTGCATTACTTTTATGCTAACCAGGCTGGCTTTCATTTATATGATAGGCTTTATTAGCCCCTTTTGTTATAGTACCTCACGTATTATCGCGACGGCTGGCACGTGATTCATTGGTCAACACTAAGAGCGCAAGCTCGTCGCTGGTAGTGAATTGTGCCACCTCGACAAAAATCGCCGTACGGAGCCGGCTACTTTGTAGTACTAAGGTAAAAAAAATGTAAGATATATTAATAAATAGTTACTTTAAAATTAGTACTTTGTATCTTAAGATCTCTAGATCATTACAAACAAAGCCTATTGCAATAATATTAATATTATGCCGTAATAGTATATTACGTGAATTAGAAATATCTTAAGGTAAGCTTCGTGCCTATATGCTTTCAGCACTTATCTTTAACTAACTTAGCTTTCCTGCCGTGCCTATAATATATATTTACTTTAGTGTAAGTAACATCCCTTATAAAAATCATAAATTTTTAGAATAAATTAATATTGGGCTTATAAACAACAGGTAAACCAGAGGTTAACAATTAATATAACCTAACCTTTTGGGTTAAGTTTTTCCTGTTCCTTTCGTACAAAGGTTAATCCTTATTTTATTCAAATTCCCTCTAGAAGATAGAAACCATACTGTCTCACGACGTATTTAACCCAGCTCATGTAACTTTTTAATCGACGAACAGTCGTACCCTACATAGTTTCTGCATCCATGAGGATAAGTTAAGCCGACATCGAGGTGCCAAACCGCGCACTCATTTTGTACACTCTTGCGCAAATTAGCCTGTTCTACATGTTATCATAATAAATTTTATTTCCATTTTTCACAAAATGGTTCAGACTATGTCTTCATTTTTATTAGAGCGACTTATAGCACGCGCTCCCAACCATAACTTATTTAGTCTACGTAATCGCTACGAAATATGCTTATTTACCACTTACTCAACCTTTTACTGCGAAAGATCCTACACGACGTTTTGATGCAGATAATGAATACATTACATTTGGTTTATAATAACCTCTGTATGTTACTGTAGATAATTTTTTAAAAGAAGAATCTATATTTCTTAATCCTCCTTTTCATTTAAATTTAAATACAGATCTATCTGCTCTATTACGTCTTGTTAATCTTCCTTTAACTTCTAATCTTACACCTCCTAAATTTTTATATTTAATAGAATTAAATATTATATTAGAAATATTGCTATAGTATCTACTATGCTGTGAGTCGTTAACTGAAGTTTGTGCTGCTATAGTATTATAAGATTTGGCTTCCAATAATGAATTATAAGAACCTGAATTTATTAATTTAGAGTCCTTTAATATAGAAACTAAACTTAAATTAGGATAAGCATTTTGTAATAAAGAGAAATCTTTAGATTTAACCATAATAGCTTTTTCCTGAATTCTATTAACTTGAGGTAATTTGGCTACTTTTAATAAACTATCCATTACTCTTATAACCTGAGATTTAGGTTTTCTTAATTTTAAAGTTAAAGCTTGAGTAAAAATTTCAGGGTTAAAAGCCAAAGATTTCAAATTTATTATATTAAATTCGATATTTTTATTAAAAATTTTAGATAAAATACTACTTAATTTATGTAAGTAAATATTTTCAAATTTCAATTTATTTAAATAATAATTTAATTCGTATTTTCTTAATAAATCCAATTTATCCGAATATGATTCTTTAAATTGGATGCTTAAATATAATCTTAAATATAAATTAAAACATTCTAAAGACTCTGTTAAAAATTTATATTTAGAAAAAAGAATTTGTTTTTGATCTTCGTTTTTAGAACCTAAGGCTACTAAAGTAATATTATTTGTATTAGCTTGTAACTCCTGGGCTCCTGAAGATTTAGCACCATGAATTATGTTTTTTAATTCATCTTTAAATAAAGTTAAGAATTCATCTTCACAATCATTTAAATGTTTAAAATATTCTTGATATACATTATTCTTCTCTGCATTAATAGTGTATAAAGTTACTATAGCTTTAGAATTTGTATGTTTTGTTTCCATTTTACTTACATAGATTTTTTTTAATAATAAACTTCTTGTTTTAGGAGATATCAATCTTGATCCTTGAAATTTATTATCAAAATATAAATTAAAATAACTTTGTATTACTTTATTCGCATTTATATTATCTATAGGTAAGTTTTGCATATTTTTTTTATAATATGAATAGATTGTATTTTTTCATTCTTTAGACACAGGAGGTAAGTATTTTACTCTACCTAAATCATTTAATTGAAGATTAAACGGTGTTAATTTAAACTTATTGTTTAAATTAGAACGAAAAATTTTAGCATTTGTATTTAGAGCTTTCGTTTTCATAAAATGAAATTTTCTTTCTTTTTATCTTTTTTTTATAAGTGTATGGTAATAAAAATGTTGGGTGTTAAAAAGGATTATTGTTAGCATAACTCACCTTATAGTCGTTGAACGATTTTATCTTATATAATTATGCCAAGATAAATTTCGCTTCAAATCTACTTATATAAGTAATTCTTGAAATTAACCCAATATATTCTCAATAATTTTAACTTTTCTCTCTTTCGCCTCCGGCCTTACGGCCCTGGGGCTAGGTCGAGGGTTTAAAAATATTGAAGGACAAACATCCCTAGCGTAGCTTTTCCAATAATCCAAGATCTTTCCTTTTTGCATCTTGTGATCCTATGCCCTGCTTACGCAACTGTAAGATTTGTTGTTAATCAAACAGTATGGCACGAATTAGCCGTTGAGCTTTTCAAGTATTTATCATTATTATTAAGAGCGGGGGGGGGGTTCCCGACCAGTCACCTAATAACTCCAAAAACATTAGAATAGCGACGACGTCGCTATTCATAATATTTTTTTCTATACCGCTACTTTCACCATAGTGAAAATCGTACCTTAGATCCATCCGTATCTACAACAAGGGTAGATAAAGTGAATTTCATAAGATTAAATATAGTAAAACTACATAAAACCACAAACAACGTTATAAATTTTATAACAAATAAATTTTAGACACTCCCTTTTACTCTTTAAGGGGTCTGTGCCCCACATAAACTGTCTCCTAACAATATATTCCTTACCTAAGGCTACTTATATGTCAGACTAGGTTAATCTTTTCTTTCACTCCCGCCTAAATGACGAAGTCGCCATTCCAGCCAGGTGAATTTCCAAAATTAATTCTGAAGTATGACGTGAAAATAAAGGATTTTCATTTTTATTGAATCAATGTACCTTATAATCTGAAAATTAATTCATCATACCCTATAATTAGTAACAGTAAAGCTGCATAGGGTCTTCTCGTCTAACTAGAGGTAAACTGTATCTGCACAGTTATTCCAATTTCACTGAGTCAATCATAGAGACAGCTGTTGTATCGTTACATCATTCATGCAAGACCGCATTTAACGGCCAAGGCATTTCGCTACCTTAGGACCCTCACGTTAAGGCCGCCATTAACCGGGGGTTCCTTCAACACCAAATTTATTGATCAATTTAGTTATATTCGTTAACCAGCCGGCATCGGGCAGACATCACACTCAATACTTCGATTTTTAATCTTTTAGCAAAGTGCTGTGTTTTAATTAAACAGTCGTACAACACTATTTTATGCTTCTTCCTTTTTACCCGATATTAATCAGGACTAATGAGCTCTCCTTATCCCGAAGTTACGGTAGTTAGTTTGCCGAGTTCCTTTATGATTGTTAGCTCATTTACGCCTTCGTATTCTCTACTAGCTTACTTGTTTTAGTTTCTAGGTACGGTTATTTTTTCATCTTCTCTTTCTATACTCATCTCTTTAGTTTATTGTATATACTTAACAAAATATATTACTATTTTTTCCAGCACACTTATCACTTGTAAGTGTTGTCATTTAGTAAAAAAGATTTTCTCATCGTTTAAACCTTTAGATTTATAACTTAGAGGCCGTTACTTTAAGGGGCATATTTTTCCATCCATAAGCTTTAGGCGGAGGATTTAGTACTTACTAAAATACCTAGTAACTCGAAGTAATCATCATAAAGAAGATTACTACTCTTTAAAGAAAGAGGCGACCCCTCCCAGAGGGAGGGAATCCCTATTTACCATAGTTATGATACGTAGAGATTTTACTAGGCTTTTTCGGTAAAATGTCCTTCTTATTCGTTACTCATGTCACCATTCTCACTTGAATTGTTTGTTATATATTTCTTCACAGAAGAAATATCCTAATTTAATTCAACGTTCTGCTACCCCACTAAATTACAATAATATATATATATAGTAAAATATGGACAAGGTGTCGGTATATTGTTTAGATCCGTTAAATTTTCGATGCTTTTAAAACTTAACAAGCGCTCTGTTACGAGGTCTTCAAAATTTGGCTGCTTCTAAGCCCATCTCCTTGTCGACTTTAATAATAACCTTCTTAATTTCACTTAACTAATAATTTTGGAACCTTAACTCTTGTTCTGGGCTGTTTCCCTTTTGACATACAACCTTATCATTCTATGTCTGATAATTCAAGATCCATCTTTGCCATTCCGAGTCTACATACTCACCGATAAAATCTTCACGATCCCCCGATATATACAAATCAACATGTTGTTTTAGTTCGTGGCCGAACTAAAATTAGAACATCTTGTCTGAGATTAAATTCTGTACCTGCTAAGATGTTACTCAAATTGCCTACTGTTATAGGTTTCGCAGAAAACCAGCTATCCTAGTCAGTGTTGTCTTTCACTACCTACCATAATTCTTCGGATATCTTTACAACGATAACCCGTTCGGACTTTTATAATCCTGATTATGGTAAAATCACCAGGCTTCGGGTCTAACTTTAGACACTCTTCGTTATTTTAACGATTGGTTTACCTACGCTTTCACTCGCATCTAATGTTAACTTGGTGACCCATTATGCAAAAGGTACGTTCTCACTTTGGCTCGAACTGCTTATAAAACTACTAATTCTAATCATTATCTCACGATACTATTCACTATCGCTTATGTATTATATTTAGCCTTTGAGGAAGGTTCCCCGGGCCCTTTCCCTTACAGGGATCAGACAATAAATTCAAACAGTTTCTAAACCATTTTACTTATTATTAAATAGGCTCCTCTACTTTCACTCACGCTACTTATAGAATCTCTTTTGATTTCTTTTCCTGAAGTTACTAAGATATTTCAATTCACTTCGTTTATTAAAAAACTTCTCTTAGGGTTTATATTTAAAATAAGTTTTTAGGGCGAAAACCACTAAATTCCTAATTTGAGTAAATAAATCATACCCTTTAATACATAGCCAGATTTCCATAATAGTTTCTTTGTATACTTGTATATTTATATATAAATATATGTTCTATATCCATTACATTTCTATTGATTCCAATTTCAGATTATTGCGGTTCGAACGCAACTATTCTCCTTCCCAAAAGGAGCGCCTAACCAACCCGGCCCTAATCTGTAAAAGGTAAATTTTTGCTTTTAGGCTGCAGCAAACTAGCTTCGCAGCAAAAAACAGAGAATATGGGATTCGAACCCATGATGGGGCAATCCCATACCGGTACTCAAGGCCGACACTTTAAACCACTCAGTCAATTCTCTTTTTAGGGCAAATTACATTACTATCTTGCTCACTTTTTAATTCTTCCAAGAATCGAACTTGAATTTCATTCTTATCAAAAATGCACTTTACCGTTAAGTTAAAGAATTTAGAAGATTTTAAAAATACAAGAGTACTCAGACTCGAACTAAGAATTCGGAGGTTGAAGCTCCTTGTTTTGCCATTAAACTATACTCTTTTTTTTAAGGAATAAGTGACTCGAACACTTAACCTGCCGTGTGTAAAACGGTTGCTCTACCATTGAGCTAATCCCTTTTTTTTTTTGGTTTTATTGTAATAACTATTGCACCTATCATAGCTAACAATAGAATAAAACTGGCTAGTATTAATCACATACTGTGACTTGTATATAGTATATTACCTATACTAGATATATGGCTTGTTTCTATTAAATTTCCATCTCAACTACTACTTGTAGCAAAAAATAGATCAGAACTTTCTCCTCCTAAATTTGAGATTGTAGTATTATTAAATAATTTTTCTCCGGGAGCATTGAATGATGTGTGGTATAATACATTATTTAATGAATTATTTGAATTATTTAAAATAGCTAAATCATATGGTAAGAATTGGAAAACTAAATAATTAAAAAATATTGTTATAAATAAAGCTAAAGGTATACTATTTTTAGTATTACTTTGTAATTCACTAACTCTAATATTAATTAGCATTAAAATGAATAAAAATAGTATAGATACAGCTCCTATATAAACAATTAAGTAAGATAAACCTATAAAATTTAAACCTAATAATATTAAATAAGAAGATACACTCCCAAATAATCCTATTAAAAATAGAACAGAGACTATCGGATTTTTACTTACAATTGTTAAAATGGCACATAATATTGCAAATATAGAAACAATATCTAAAGCTCCTGTTTTAAACCCACTAGTATATATTTCATCTACGATAAACAAATTTGACATATTGCTCGGATAAATTTTACCCCTTATGGGGGAAGTGATAAAACAGAGGTAAATCTTACAGATTTGGCCTGCTACGGAAAGAAGATGACTCGAACACCCAAATGTTTTCACATAATATTTAGCAAATATCTTGCCCTACCTATGGCGACCTTTCCTACAAAGACTCTCTTTAAAATAATCGAACTAAGTCGGCATCGAACCGACATCCCTTTTCGTGACAGGAGAAGTCTTTACCAATTAAGCTATTAGTTCAAATATTTACGGTTAGTTGGAATCGAACCAACACACTCTGTTTGGAAGACAGCAATCCTACCATTAAATGATAACCGTTTATAATATAACCCATAGGATGTACTTTACTAATAATTCCAGTATATTTATAATATATTCTATACTTTACTAATAATTCCAGTATATTTACTATTTATAGTTTCTTAGCTATAAATATTAACCTTGTTTGTTTTCAATCTAATTTTAAAACATTTAAAATAACTTTTTAATTAGAAAGAAAATATAAAAGGTAGTTCTATATTGTTACTTCGCTCTTCATTTGATTAATAGCATAAATTAAGAACCTCAGTAATATATTGATACGTATAAGAAAAGTCAAACTACATCAACGAAATGTCAATAAAGAATACCTCCCTCAAAACCTAAATGATGGTTATCAGTTAAATGATAAGCGTATATTCTTCATAATCCCACTCCTAAAAATAGTGTACCAATTATAACATGGAATCCATGAAAACCTGTTGCGAAGTAGAAACAAGTACCAAACGCTCCGTCACTTATAGTAAATGATGAAACTGAATACTCTACACCTTGGAAAGCTGTGAAAACTAAGGCTAATAATACAGTAGCAATAGCACCATATAAAGCTCCCCCTCTGTCTCCTTGGATTAAAGCATGATGGCTATAAGTAATTGTAGCCCCGCTAGATAATAATATTACAGTATTAAGTAGAGGTAATTCAAAAGGATTTATTGGATCTATACCCATAGGTGGTCATTGTGCTCCTAATTCAACTGTAGGTGTAAGTGAGCTATGGAAAAATGCTCAGAATATAGCTACAAAGAATAATCCTTCAGACACTATAAAAAGAATAACACCTAAATTTAGTCCTTTTTGCACTGCTAATGTGTGGTTTCCTAAAAATGTACCCTCAGTTATTATATCTCTAAATCATAAAGTCATAGAGCTAACTACTAAAAAAAGTCCTACATAAAATAACACATAAGCATTTAAAAAATTATGCATAGATAGTGCTGCATTTAGAGTTAATGTTAATAAACTTATACTAGTATAGATAGGTCAGGGTGAAGGTGATACCAAGTGAAACGGATGGTCTTGAAATTGACTTCTCGATAGATTTGTCATTTTGTATTTTATTTTGTAATTATCGAATTGCTCGGACTAGATAGGCTAAGTTAGGCATCCATTATCCCCAACGAAGCCCTTAAGGGGAATCGAACCTCTATCATAATATTAACAGTATTATGCTCTACCGTTGAGCTATAAAGGCTTTAGATGTTTAGGAGACAAGAGATTCGAACTCTTAAAGCAGAAAATTGCTATTGAGTTTACAGCTCAACCCTTCTTGCCAATAAAGGAACTCTCCTTCTTTATATAAGCTGACTATTTATTTTTCAATAAATAGGCTGCCAATGGGCAACACTTAATATAAAGAGTGAATTCAGTCTTAAATAATTATTGCTTTTGAAGGCAACATTTAAAATAAAGAATTCACTTTTAATAATTGGGCTGCGATAAGCAGCACCTAATATATTATATTTTTTAGGTTTATAAACCCCGTGCAACTTCCACTACACGAACCATATTTCGACTTAACACTAATCAGAGTCACGCATACGAAGAATTCCATTATAATATTTTAATCCGATTTATAAAAGAGATTATAACAAAATAGCAAACTTATTGCGTAAGCTCCTTTCAGCATGCGACGAGTGGTTAGTACCAATCCGAGATTTAATTCACCGTGACATGGTGATTCACGATTACTAGTAATTACTTATTCATATAGTCGAATTTCAGACTACAATCCTTGTATAATTTATATCCTCTTTTTTGAGATTAGCTAAAATTCGCATTTTCGCATCTCTTTGTTAAGGACTACGTGGCACGTCTATAGCCCACAACATAAGGGCCATGATGACTTGTCTTTTTCCTTTTTATCTTTTCCGCTATAAAGAAAGATTGCTTTATAAAACTTTATATAAATAAAGCAAAGGATTCCGTTAATTCCATGGAAGAACCACAGTTTCACAACATTAACTGAAAACAGCCGTGCAACTCCTGTATTTATTGCTAAATATTCAAGTTGTGGTAAGGTTTTTCGTGGATCATCGAATTAAATAACATACTTCACTACTGGTGTCAGAAACGGTCTAGTGATTTCAGTTCCTGCGTTGCCACATTACTCTTGAGGTGAAATGCTTTCATTTTCATTTATAGACTAATTCTGCTTAAACTACACTCACATCCTAAGAGTTGCCTTCTAGGATACGAGTTGCTATTTTAGCGACTAGTCCATGGCATTCATCATTGTCTGCAAAGACTACTAGGGTGTCAAATCCTGTTCGTGTTCTATGCCTTCGTCCTCCAACGTCAGTTATTACATAAAAGACAGCTTTCGCCTTTATCAGTCCCCTTGGTATCACAGAATATAATCTCTCCACCTCAAGTACGGTCTTCTCACATAAAACTCTAGTCAAGTACTCCTTTTAGTTAAGGTATTTTGACCGTCTGGGTACCCTTTAAACCTATTTAATATGAATAATGCTCGTCTCTTACGTATTACCGCGACTGCTGGCACGTAATTGGTCAAGACTAGTATACATATTATCATTATTAATACGTACTTAAAACTTTATTTTTGTATAAACAATTCTGTTTCGTTTCCCCAAATTGCCAGTTCAGCCGTTAGGCCATTGACCAAAATTCCCCACTGCTGTACTAATTTTGCATTGGGCTTTTTTCAGACCCAATGTGACCGATCAACCTTTCAGTTACGGTTACGAGATTTTAAAGCTAGTGAAGACATTACCTTTACTACTACCTCTCTCGACGATATTAATCTTCTTCCTAAAGCGGCTTTTGCCTTTATTATTATGTGGTATTTTATCCCTCACTTCAAGGTAGTGAAAATATCATATACTCACCTGTACACCACTTATTAATTAAATTATTCATTATATTAATCGTACGATTAGCATGTGTCAAGCATTTGGACAGCATTCATTCAGAGCCATCACCAAACTCATTTATATAATTTCATTGATGTATTTCACAATCTGCTTGATGTCAAATACATCACTAATAAATCCAAAGCAGTTTAGGATAAGAATACGCTCCATTCATACCTCATGTTAAGTAAAAACTATATTAATCGCGACGACTTAGTCGTCGCGCTTACCAAACATATGCTAATAAATATATTTTTTTTAGTACTTACCAAAACACGTGCACTAGCACACTCGCCCTTATCTTACACATTTATAAGCGGACTGTCGTGGGATGTACTTGAGGTATGCACTTGTTTATGAACAACTTTTAGGATTTTTATAAGTAGGGGTTGTCAAAAAACTACTACAATTTTAAACCTATTACATCATATTAAATTATATATAAAATATACTTGGTATTTAATTTCTAGGTTCCGCCTACTTGTAAATCTCCCCCCCCCCGTTTTTACTGTACCCTAGAAATTAATATCCTATTTAATTTGATGCCAAGTACATCACATGCGAGATGAGACAAAAAACTTATAAATATAGGGTTAATTGTCCGCAAATAATAATTTATACTCTGGTGGCCTGCCAGACATTCTTTATTAACTCCTGAATAATCTACTCTTGCTAAAAACTATAAATTAGATATTTAAGAAATAGAAGCTAACTATTTCATTAAAGACTAAAATACCTTTCACCTTGCCTTTAATCTAATACTTCATTAAAGCTATATTTTAGAATTTCTGGTTTAAATGAAATAGTTAAGCGAAAACTGTATTTTTTATTCATTTAAAAAAACTAGTTCCGCGTAAACTAGCTTTTTAACTTTAAATGAACAAGTTCCGCGAAAACTTTTATAAATAATATCCAGCAAATAATTTTTCATTAATACATATCGCCAAAGAATAATTTTGCTTTTATTCATTGCTTCTATAAATAAAGAACTTAAAAATAACTAACACATACTATTATTTTTTATTTTCTCTAGAAATGACCATTATTTTTATTATGATAATTATTAGTTATCTATATACTAACTAAAGGGAGAACTTTACCATCTTTATCACTAAATTAGAATTAGTATTTATATAGTATTCTTTTTAGAAAGCACATACTTGAACCTAATTCTAAAAATTATCTGGATTTTTACGGTTTTATTAAATAAAATTATTAAGAATAAATTTAAACTTAACGTTCTTTATCTGGTTATTATTAAATTAAAGGTTAACTCCTACAACTACAAATCCCTGTTTAAAGATCAATGTTTATTGTTGTAGAGAGCTTGAATATTAATATTGAATTCTTAAATACTATTAATGATTTATGTATTCGTATTGAACTCAGATTATTACTAAGTCTGTATAGCTAATAGGATTCTTATTATTTAAGAGAGCCTAAGACTATTTTTTACCATTAAGATAATACCCTAGATTGCAAATTTATATAGATATACGGCAGACTACGCGGCCGACAAACTACTAAATTCCGCCATAAAGCTTCGAATTAATGTAAATCTAATCCGTCTTTGATATAACCGCTAGTTAAAACTACAAACACTTGAGCTTGTATAAATGCGATACCTAATTCTAAACCAGAGAAAGCAATTATAAAAGCTAAAGGTACTAATCCTAAGAAGAAGAAGATGAAACCTGAAGTCATAATATTGTAAGTAAATCCTGCTAATATATGTAATAACATGTGACCTGATAATATATTAGCGGCTAATCTAAGCCCTAAAGAAATATTTCTAGCTAAGTATGAAATAAATTCTATTAAAACTAATAATGGTAATAAAGCTAAAGGACAACCAGCTGGTACTAATAATGAAAAGAATTTTAAACCATGTTTTTGGAATCCCAATATAGTTGCACCTAAAACAATAGTGAAACTAAGAGCAAATGTTAAAACAAAATGACTAGTTGATGCGAAACTGTAAGGTACCATACCTATTAAATTATTTATTAATATAAATATAAATAAAGTGTAAATAAAAGGGAAATATACTTGACCGCTTCTAGCATTTATTTGATTTACAACTATACCGTGTATAGTTGCATATAAGGATTCTTGACTAATAGATCAGTTGTTACTAATTAATTTATTATTATTTATACTTAATACACTTAAAATTAATGTGAAAACTAATCCAATTGTTAAATATAATCCTATGTTAGTCATAGATATATGTAAATCACTTAATATAGGTAAATCTATACTTAATAAATCTCTTATTTCAAATTGAGTTAAAGGGCTAGAAATTTCTTTATTTAAATTGTTTAAACTTAAAGTATTCATATTATACTCTAAGCTTTTTATATAAGCCTACAAAAATCTAAATATCTATAATTTATTATACTCCAAATTTATCTAATAATGTTGAGATAAAAAGACGAGATACAAATAAACTAACTATTCTTGGTAATACGTATTTAGAAAATACGTATGTTAGTAATACAATTATAGCAAAAGCAAAAGTTACTTCGTTAATAAAATAAAATGGTACTAATTGAGGCATTTACAGAGAATTTTAGAGATAAATACTTATAAATCGTAACTTAATCAGAGGAGTATTAAGGTTTAATATTAAACTCGAAGATAAATAGAAGGAGTCGCAGCCACAGCTGCTTCCTTATAGCTACTACTAATATGTTTGTTTTATATCCATATATTATACAGTTTACATTATCAGGTGACTGGCTAGAATAAAACCAAACAACTTAATAAAAATCAAACCTTGGGGTTGATCGCTACTGATTCTAATCTAATCACTACTAATTGTAGTCAGCCAGGTAAAGTAATTGGTAGTATTCTTATCAGTATGTATTTAAAGAAAGATCATGGAGGAATCGAACCTCTTACTTAAGATTTGCAGTCAAAGTGTAGACCATCTACTTCATAATCTAGTAATATTTATTTTATTCAAGCCGCGACCACTATTACGTAGTCCGCGGTAGCTATAAGTTGTTTAAACTTTAAATATCCCACTAACCAAGGAGCAACCTGCTGGTTTCTTGCCTTATCTTACTATATAAAATATACAAGTTTATTAGAAACTATAAATTAGATTAGCAACAGAATAGTGTAAACTATCTAATATTAAAGAAGGGTATATTCCAAGTATAACAGTAAATAAAACTAATATAAACAATAGTGTGAATTCTCTTTTTGTTGTGTCAAATATATTTTCTTCAAAAAATTTAGTGAAAGAACCTCCAAATGTAATTCTATTAAACATATAAATAGTATATGCAGCAGAGAATACTATAGATGTAGAACCTAATACACCTAATAATGGTAATTTTTCTACCATACCATAAAGAGACATAAATTCTCCTATAAAATTTAATGTTAAAGGAGCTCCACAATTACCTAAAGATAATATAAAGAATAATATAGAGAATAAAGGCATAAGTTGAGCTATACCTCTGTATAGATAGATCATTCTAGTACCAGATCTATCGTATAATATTCCTCCAGCACATATAAATAAACCACTAGATACAAATCCGTGGGCTAAACCTAAAGCAATACTTCCTTCAATTCCTTGAATTGTATTACTAAATGCACCTATTAAATATACAGCAGCGTGAGATACAGAACTATATGCAATTAATTCTTTAACATCTACAGTTCTTAATGTACTAAAACTTGCGTATATTATAGTGATAACACCTATAGTATATACTATAAAAGTTAGATCTAATGTAGCTTTTGGTAATACAGGTAAAATTAATCTAAATATACCGTATAAACTTAATTTTAAAACAATACCAGCTAATATAATACTTCCACCTAAAGGTGATTCAACATGAGCTTTTAATAATCAATTATTTAAAAATATTACAGGTGTTTTTACAGCGAATGCAATAAAAATAGCACCAAATAATATAATCTGAGTAGTATAATCAAAATTTGTTTTAAATAATGCATCAAAATCTGTTGTACCCATTATAGAATACATAGCTAAAATAGCTAATAATAAGAATAAAGATCCTCATACTGTATATAAAAAGAAGTAATAACTTGCTCTTACTTTATTACTAGATCCAAATAAACCTATTAATAAAAATAAAGGAGGTAAAATACTTTCGAAAAAGATATAGAATAATAATATATCTGCAACTAAGAAACATCCTAATAATAATGTTTCTAATAATAATATAGTATTTAAATAAAATTTCACATTTTCTTTTATAGAGTTTCAATTCGATAATAAAGCAATAGGCATTATTATAGTTGTTAATAACACAAAATAGATAGAAATACCATCTACTCCTAAATAAATATCAAATAATTGAACATTATAATGTTCTTGTACAAATTGGAATTGATTTGTACTTGAATTAAAAAATATATAAACGATAAAAGATAAAATCATATTAACACTAGAAGTTACTAATGCTATTTGTTTGTATAACGTTACATTTTCGACATTAGAGTTAGGGCCTTCATAAGAAGTAAAACTAGATATAATAAATATACCTATAATTGGAATAATAAGTAAAAGGGATAATAACATCACTCTTGATAGTAATTTTTAACAAAGTCTTAATTTGTATCATAATAGGAAATTACGATGTATAGCCGCCTTCGGCTCCCAAATAATTAAGTAAGATATACAGTATTTTAAGTAGGGAGTAAAAAACCTAATTAGCCACGAGGCATACTTCATCAGCAGCTAGTGATGAAGTAGGAACTAGATAGCACAAACTAGCAAAATCCAAATATTATATTGTAATATTTATTACAAAGATATCAAGTGCATATAAAGTACAAGGTAATAATATAATAAAAGCAAATAATAAAGGTAGTAATACTGTTCAACAGAATGACATTAATTGGTCAAAACGTATTCTAGGGAATGAAGCTCTAACTCATATAAAAATGAAAACTAGAAGAGAACTTTTTGCACCTAAAATAAGACTAGAAAATAAACCACTTTCAGCAAAAGCACTTACAAAATTTTTCATGTTATTATATTCAGCAGATAACACTCAATCTATATCAAATACATAAGCACCTAAATTATTTATTAAGTTAAATCAGTATAATAGATTAAATCCGGCTAAATAACCACCTAAAAATAGTATACTTGTTAATATACACATTAATAAGATACTACCATATTCAGCTAAGAAGAAGAAGACAAATACAACCGCTGCGTGTTCTGTCATAAACCCACTAACTAATTCAGATTCAGCCTCAGCTAAATCAAATGGAGCTCTATTAGTTTCTGCTACAGAACCTATAAAGAATATTAAGAAAATTGGGAATATAGGTAATATAAGTCATACTGCTTTTTGAGCTTGTATATTAATATTTAAATTAAGACTACTAGTAATCATGATGATTAAAAGTATAGCTGAACTTAAAACTAATTCATAGCTAATCAATTGAGCTGTACTTCTAAGAGAACCTAAAAAAGCATATTTACTATTCGCACTTCATCCAGCTAATAAAATACCGTAAGTTCCTAAAGATGAAACAGCTAACATATAAAATATACCTAATTCTAAGTCATTTAAAGTTAAACCTGGCCCATATGGTACTACTCCATAACCTAATAGAGCGAAAGCTAAAGTAATTACAGGACCTAAGAAGAATAATATAGTATTAGCTTGTGTAGGTGCAACATATTCTTTTAAAATTAATTTTAAAGCATCCGCAAAAGCTTGTAATAATCCATAATATCCTACAGCATTTGGTCCTAATCTTCTTTGCATACTTGCCATAGTTTTTCTTTCGGCAACAGTTACATAAGCTACTGCTAATAAAGCAGGCAACATTAATAAAACTACTTCTAATACAGATAAAAGAGTTGAAGTATAATACATTTATTTCTAAAAATTAAGGTTTTTGTTTTATAAATACTAAGTAATAAAATTTAAGAGCCATGTTTTATAACAAGACTGACGAGCATATTGCCTTACAAAGTACGAAGTCCCGACTTCGTTTCGCTATAAACTCTATTAAAGTATGATAGAAATAAAAAACCAGTAAAAAAATATACCTATAATTAAGTGTTTTTCAGAGTTTAGCTCTGAGTTATCTCATTTCAGATTCGAACTAAAATCAGAATATTAGAAGTATTCGGCTCTACCATTGAGCTAATGAGACTTTTTGTATTTTCTTACTTCATAAGAAAAGACTAAGACTAGATTTAAGTAATTTAAGAGCGACTACGTCGCGCCCTAACTATTGTCAGTAGCAATATTATAAACTACAGTTACTTTGTAAAGGAAGACTTACAAAGGCATGAGGTTTAGGAGGACTACTTAATGCTCATTCTAAGCTAGGGTAACTTCTATTTAAAAGAGCTTGTAAAGTATCAGTGTAATATTGTACAGATAATCAAGGATTTCTGTTAGCAACTTTACCTTCAACTAATTGTTTGTATACTACATATAAGAATAATCATGCAGCTACAACACTTATAATAGATCCAAAACTACTAATTAGATTTCAACCTGCAAAAGCGTCAGGATAATCACTAATACGTCTAGGCATTCCTTGTAATCCTAAGAAATGTTGTGGGAAGAATGTTAAATTAACTCCTATAAATAAAACTCAGAATTGAATTTTAGCTAATACGATGTTATAATTTAATCCTAATATTTTTGGTATTCAGTAGTATCAACCACTAAACATTGCAAAAACCGCACCCATACTTAAAACATAATGGAAATGAGCAACTACATAGTATGTATCATGGAAAGCTATATCAAGTGAAGCATTAGCTAAAACAACTCCACTTAATCCTCCTATTGTAAACATAAATACAAATCCTAAAGCAAATAGCATAGAAGGTGTTAATTTTATAGATCCTCCATAAGATGTAGCTAATCATGAAAATATTTTAATTCCAGTAGGAACTGCAATAATTAATGTAGCAGCTGTAAAATATGCTCTAGTATCAACATCTAAACCTACTGTATACATATGATGAGATCAAACTATGAACCCTAATATACCAATAGACATCATAGCATAAACCATTCCTATATATCCAAATATGCTTTTATTAGAACTAGCTGAAATAGTTGTACTTATTATACCAAAACCAGGTATAATTAAGATATAAACTTCAGGGTGTCCAAAAAATCAGAATAAATGTTGGTATAGTATAGGATCACCTCCTCCGGCTGTTTCAAAGAATGATGTATTAAAATTTCTATCTGTTAAAACCATTGTAATACCTCCAGCTAAAACAGGTAAAGATAATAATAATAATACAGCTGTTATAACTACAGCTCATCCAAATAAAGCTAGTTTATGTAATCTTATACCAGGTGTTCTCATATTTACAACTGTAGTTATAAAATTAATAGCCCCTAATAAACTACTTACCCCAGATAAATGTAATGCAAATATAGCTAAATCTACACTAGGTCCACTGTGACTTTGTAATCCTGATAAAGGAGGATATAATGTTCATCCTGTACCTACTCCACCTTCTATACATGCTGAAAATACCAATAGTATTAAACTAGGTGGTAATAATCAAAAACTTATATT